TTTGACTGAACAGGATTTTCCATTATGAAGCCCAAAAATGCTGCTCTTACGACATACGACTCTTGACAGGCTATAGTCAACCCCTCTGAACGGAACCAAAACAAGAACCAGCCGGATCAAAAGATGTAATGCATGATTGTGGGAATTCCACGGACCTAACCGCAAGGTCTAACTTGCCCAATAAGCACGGATTTATAACATGTTTCACAGTGAACGATGGCTAAGGTACAGAAGGAAGTCATAGTAACGGTATTCAGAATCTGTGCCCAACTTACTTTTACAGCTGCCGTGTAATGTTTACGTATGTCTTTCATACTTGCTTTCGTTTTACATGTGGGGCATACAGCATTCCTACCTGAAATACCTTCATAAATGACATGTAAGATAGTCTGTTTTCATACTTTGCACTGTAGATCAGGAGATTAGGAGAAGAGAGTTAAGATTAACGGAAAAGTATACAAATTGATGCCCTAGACACTCTCTCCCGCACCAAAGCGGAGAATCGAGTTCATAGCAATTCTTCGCAACAGTTGACAAGTAGTTATTATAAACTTTGAATGGTATCACTTGATGGCTTCATCAAGTTCACAAATCTCTACTTGACTGCTCGACATGCCAATGATAACCAGCGAGGGTGCCTCCTCCCTCTACCAGGGCACATCATTGGTTGGGGATTTTAGTAGAGTCTGTACGACCCCCCCCCCTCGCACGCTTTGTTACTGGTAGGGGGGGCTTGTACGACGCCCCCACTCCTCCCTCTGGGTCCTCCTCATTGGGAACCGAGCGTAGAGCGGTGGAGTAAAGAGCATGTAGTATGCATGGAAACAAGAAGAACCAACAAAAGTCAAGCCACCGCTCCTATGCGCAAAAACGTGGAATTACGACCCCCTCCTCCAGTAGGCGAGCAATGACGACTGTCCCATCCCTTTCCAAGAACGCCGTAAGGAGCGGAATAGATACCTATCAATAATAATTTTCCCTTCTATACACACTTGACACCTCCGGACGCCAGCCCAGATACGACCACCCCCCTCCCGGCGGCCAAATACGACCCCCTTTTGGGGATTCCCCAACAACGATGTACCCTGTCCCCCTACACACCTCGCCGCTTTGGCCTAATCCACAAACAGGAAAGTACACACATCGATCTGAAGAATCGTCGAGTTGGAGAATAGGAGATCAATCGATACGTATCTGGTCTTCTCGCGCATTCTCCGATTCTCCACTCCTTGAGATCGGTACACGAGTAGAAATCGTAACAAGTGATCCTTATCGCGGACCTTCCAATGGCGGGCTTGAACGCAAGACTACCGGTATCATAAAGCGAATGAAGTTGTAACTACCTTCACTACGAATCCATCGTGCAATACATGAATACCCGAAAAAATGTCCACACTTCACTGAAGCCAATCGATGTTCTCCAGCACTTGTGTACTCCTAAAATCTTCTCGACTTTCTTAACTGACAAATGAAAACCTTCCAACAACCAACTTCATAACAAATAGTGCAACCATCGTCAGCTTCCTCATCACCGGCGAGAGCCGCGCCGAGCGCGGTGGACGCCGTCGTCTCTGTGGATACCCTGTAAGGCATAGGATACAATGAAAAGCGAAGCGGAAAAAGTCGTTTAGAATGAATGCGCCCCCAAAAATGAGGTCTAAACAGCGAAATGAAGAGTGTTCATAGTGCTTTATAAGCATGAGCTGATTAGATAAGGGATCCGATTAGTTTTCAAACTGGCGAAAACTAGTAAGAACTGATAAGCATATTAAAAGAAGTGCAGAACTGAATTTACCCTGGTTGGCAATCTTTCTCGTTCTCCGTTGAGAAATTGTCCGTCCTTCTTCGCTTGGGACGATTCGCAGAATTCAGCTGCAAAAATCTCAAATTGCCAACAGCGGACATCGGAAACATGACGATTCGACTACGAAATCAACAAGCAAACCTCGTTGTCGGAATCAGATGGCGAACCTGGTGGGGTGGATCGCAGAGGCTCTACATTCTCATCCAGAATTTGGATATCGTCCTAAAACGTGGAATAAAGCTTGAATAAATAGTTGAGCGAAACGTTCTTCTTCTTTGCAGACGCTGAGGCGTTCCAGTGGGACTGGGACTAGCGCGGCGCCAAGCCCAGCCCCTGAACTGCCCCAGCGTCTGCAGAGAACAAGACTGCACATTAATGTTCGATTCAAAGCCGTATTACATCGTTCTCATTTTCCATGATCGTCCGTTCAAGGTCGTTTCGCGCTTCTTCGCCTGAACCGCTTGATTCGCTTTCACTCTGAAACTGAGCTTAAATCGGTATATGAATGGGTAGTGCAGTGAGACAGCCGGTTATTTTTACAATACTTCACTCCAAAATTGTTTAAAGGAAAACCTAGCGATTGTATATTGTCGGTAGAGGCATTCAGCAACACATCTATAGTCGCTAAGTGGCTTTCCAGGGATGAGCAAAGCTTCGCCGACCTGCTCGTTTTATGCCAGCAAGGGGGTATCCTGCAACCCTAGCCTCACTAATCGTTTCTTCGCGTCATCCAATGCTCATACCATCCGGCAGTGAAAGAAAAGTGTAAACACGTGACAAAAAAATAGCCTCCGGGTTTCGGTGGGCGGAGCCACTAGGGAGGCGTCGCGACTGCCACTTATGAGAGCCACAGCGCTTTCGTTACTCACTGTGAAAGCGCGAAAATGCGACAATCTCAGACTGGGGGCCAGACTACTTGAACAAGGAAGGACGCCTAGGAATTGCTATAGCGCGGGACTGTCTTTAAGTCAACATTGAAACTTTCATGGCAATTTGGGACCACTCCCTGGTTGAAGAACAACGTTACGCACAATGCAAGTAAAAATACCTCGTGTAAAGTTTCAGCGTTGGACGAGGATTGTGACTGCTCTGCTGACCGCTGATTTGGGACACTGAAAAATAGTACTCAAGCAAAGAACATGACAAAAGCTTGGGAACAAAAGGGTACCTTCGCCTCTGCCGATTCTGTCGCTCAGATGCACGTGTTGGATACCTTCGGGTTTCTTGACCTGATGGTGAAGTGAATCTAGCAGGGGCAAAGAAAGTTTAACAAAGATATGTTCATACTTACGTTGTTCGTCTGAAGAATCAGTTTCTGTGGATGATGTTTCAGTTGTCGATGACGTCTCCTCACTCGAATCCGTTATAAAATCGTCAGACGAGGATGTTGACGATGAATACCTTTCGTGCCTGTCTCTAAAAATTAAGGCTTTCCTCCAAAAGGCCGGGAGGAAATGTGATGAAGGAGGGTCCCAATTGGAATATATCAGGATCCTTCTCCGTCAGTATAATCACCAAGTGAAAGCACCTCGTAAAATAGCATTGACTTTAGCGAAAAAGACTCCCTTCGGCCTAAGGGTGTCCAGTACTACCGAAACAGGACTGGTCCTGCAACTGAGGGGGGATTTCTCCAAAATACGATTCCCTTCATCATGCCACCAACGATCTTCTGCAATCCTCCCAATTACTTATCACTTTCCCGGAATTTACGAAACGCTATTTTTTTGTCAAAAAACTGCCATCAAGCGAGGGGGAGAGGTGGACATGAAACGGAAAAAAAACGAGAAAAGTCAATAGCCGGGAACGTTTCTCCTCACAGGCACACATTTTCCTCGTTCCTTCCTCCAACGACCGAACACGAACCCCGGGGATCCCCAACGTACGACTTGAGTATAAAATTACCGAAATATGTTGACGAGAAGTCCGCTTATTCTTCGAGCTGCTGCTACTGTACGAGCTGATCGAAGCCTTGGCATTTCAGCTGGTAGCGCCCATTCGATGAACTACTACCTGGATAAATCGACCTGAAACAACCAATGCCTTGGAACATGGAAGAGGCGACATAGGGTTTAGTTCAAGAAATCCGAGCTGCGGGCGTAGTGCTGGAGATGTACGGCGCGAACATATAGCCTTATTCGCTGCGGATGATGGGGCGTGTCCGTACGGCTGCGCTTGGCTCGTCGCCATACCCATTGTCCACCTGCGAACCTTAGGAAACAGCTGATTCGCAACCGCGGGTACGATCAATACTGTATTACCCCGGATTGTGTCATTTGTCCTCATGGGCGATTGGGTGATTGCATGAGATCAGGGGCGAGCTG